CTCTTAGTAAGAGCAACAATTCAGTTTGGTTTTTAATCTTACGTTTTCCACTTCCCTGAAGACACGGAGAAAGTTCTCCCTTAAGACCCCTTTCAGTTCATTTTCATTCCATCCTCTTCTAAGAAGTTCCTCAATCAAAGAGGGGTACTTAGAAACATCTTCCAGTCCCTCAGGGAAGCTGTTGGCAAGTCACACAAAACATTCAACACACGTCACTTAAAAAAAATGTAGAAAAATATTTTTAATTAGTCTCTTGCACATATTCACTTTTGGAAAGAGCTCACTTTGGACCAAAGTCTTCCTCTGAGAAGTTAAAAAAAAATTACAAATTCAACTACCAGAAGCAGGACTAAGACACCATGAAGTTTCTTCTTCTGCACAGAGGATGGCATCTGCAGAACTAAACTGCATATTCTGGAATGAAGATGCACTTGTGTATAGGCAGAACAACAGCATGGAGGATATCAGAACAAAAGAAAAATTTAAAAACCCTCATGTATGCATTAATCTGGTCTTTCTATCTGGCCTTTAGAGTAAGAGATAACAGCTGCATCACAGATGGAGTTGCTGCAATCCAATGGTGTAACTGAGAACAAAAGGGAACATGCAGACACATGATGAGCTAAGGAGTTGCAGGCAATTTTGCATACACTGTTGTTTACAAAGCCATTTTTCCAAAGACAATACAATTAGAATAATAATACTGTTTTTAATTCAGCAGTTTAGCCAATTAAAAAAGGCATTCAGAACCCTCCACTGAAGAAATCACAATAAACAAAATTGACCTGTGTCTTCTGTTGATTCTTACAGGAATAAAGAGGAACTAGAAGCATGAAGCTGCAAAACCAGCATCAAACAGCTGTATTAAATTGTATTTCCATGAGTCTTGGATTTTGTTTTGCGATAACTAACATTTTATGTTATTTTATTTTCTGTGGAGCTGTGGTGATAAGCCTACCTCAAGAAATCTGTGCTGTTATTTTCTACCAGGACTTAGGACCTTAACAACTCCACCACTAATTAAACTGATGGTCTTTGTGAAAATGTGTGCAACAGAACATGTCCTTTTGTTGCAAACTGTGTTTTTATTTTGGGGATTATCATTTCAGAGCTATGATTAGCTACCTCTCTCAGGAACTGACACACTGTTTTTGTGGTCCTACTTTACACAGACGAGTCTGAGTGCGACTTTCATACACGAGTGTGTCTGAGCCCAGGGAAAAAAAAGGAGGAGGAGATGAAGATTCAACAAAGATAAAAAGCAAAAAAAAAAAGTGTTTAGGGTTACGTCAGCAAATGCCACACGATGTGCATTTGTTTCCTGTGCTGTAACAACAGTAGCCCAAAAACGAGCAAGAGAGGTTATGTTGCAGGATGTTCACTATGCTCTGCTTGCCTCAAACACTTCCCAAGCCCCCAAAGCAGAAGTGGTTTCACTGCCCCAGAACACTTCGGTCTAATAATGGAGGAAAAAGCTTTGCAGCACCTCCCTAGGCGAGCCCATTTACCATCTAGAGGCTGATGAAGCTTTTCTGTCGTTCATTCTTGTCTTCTGGTGGAAAGCATCTTCTAGCACTGTTTTATGTGCAAACCACTGCCTATGACACACAACTGCAGAGATCACAGGGCATTAGCACCCAACTCCATGTCTGTAGCACTGCTTCATGCAGTTGTAACAAGGAATCATTGTTCCCCTCTTTCATAAAACTTGTTTTAGTACCCATCACAAGACAACTTGCTACAATTCCTTTGCCTTCTTTTTTCCTTAAAAGGAATCAAAACATTTATAATTTAAGGAGCAGATGTCAATGTATGTACAATTTTACTAACCGCTCCACTCCATCATAGTCACCACCAATTCCTATCGATTCTGAACCTGCAATTTTCTTCACATGGTCAAAGTGATCTGAAAGAAAATACCAAAGAAAACAATATCTAAGCATATGGCAAGAAGAAATAACAGAGTTCAGACATATTTGCACTAGGTGACTGTTCTCCATCATGGATTCTTAATCAAATACTTTTTTTTAAAGTCAAAAGACATATCCTGATAATACAGGTTAAAATTCAATAATGCAGTGGATGGATTCTGGATATTTACTAAGGCTTAACTAGATTTTTTCTGTTATTAGGGCAGCAATCTTCAAAATAACAGCTACACTGATGAGATGCAAATAAGGAAAAGGACATGATCATTGCAGCACCTTAATTCCCAGTATGTAGCCCACATATACCAACAGATTTTTCATTACCCATTACATACCTATGTTTTCCACTCCTAATTACAAAGGTTTAAGATATTTTACAGAAATTGGGATTAATGGTTCTTGGCTCCATTTGGGAGCATCATGTCCTCCAGCTACACATCTTGTACCTCTTGGTATCATTTAACAGTTAGCTCCAAGAGTACCTGGAGCCGGGGTAAGGTGTGGAAGGGAATAAACAAGCAGTATAATTCACACGATCTCAAAAATGACACAAACACCAGGAAATTCATATAAGCCACCCAAAAAAGCAAAATATATCAACTTCAAACCTGCAAGGGTAGAAATATTAACATATTTTTTGCCACAGGCCAGTACATCTGCATTGAAAGTCACCATGATAATTCCCTTGTTCTTTTTCTGAAAGATATGAAGAGACAGGTGATGAGTTCACACTTGTGTGTCCTGCAGACATCATGGGCATCTGATACAGATCCTCCTACATCTGTCCATCAGTGAGCATAGCAACACTCTACGAAGTCAAAGCTCAGATGGCAACGCAAGGCTTTGCCTCTCTGTCCTTTACCCTGGATTCGTTATATGCTCACATAGCCTGAATCAGCAGAAGTCTAATGACTACTTCAAACACACACGACTGGAATTTCAGAGTATTTGAAAGCACTTCATTTTTCCAGCCAAAGACAAAACACAACCCAAAGAAAATGTTTCAGAAGTGAAAGTGAAACTTGCTGCTCAGGGATCTGCTTATAAATCAATTCAAAGATGAGAGGGTGAAAAGTAAACACCATGACTTGAATGTGCAAGTTTGCCTCAGACCAGCCAACCATTGCCATTAAAAAAACAACACCAAAACAAACATCAAAACCAAACAAACAAAACCTTAAAGAAACAAAAATAACCCCAAATCAAAAACTGTATTGCTCACCAGCTGCTGGAGGATATCATCAGGAACATTTCTAGAGTGATTACATATAGAAAATGCTGAGGAATGGCTGAAAATTACTGGTGCTTTTGAGATACTCAGTGCAGCTTTTGCTGTGGAACATGAAGTGTGAGATAAATCTATCAGCATACCCAGGCGATTCATCTCTTTTACCACTTCCTAAAACACATTTACAGACAACAGCATCAGTATTAAATTTCCTTAAAGGAAACCATTTAGCTGATAAATGTAAACATATAAATCAATTCTGCAGCTGTCAGCTAGTTCTAAACATGCTGTGCCTCCATGGGTTTCTATTTACCTATTAATTTAATACTGTTTATTCACTCAAAATTAACTAGCACACCACCAGTGCTCAAAACTTACAAAGCTTAGTCAGTCTGAAATAAGTAATTGGAACTGTTATTCACAACCCACTACTTCTGTATATTAATTCATACATCTGATCTATATTAAAACAATTGTTCTAATTCAATATCGCACTTCTTTTACCCTAAGGAACATCACAGGGAACTTGGCTTGACTAAACCCTGATCACCTCCTATCAAGAATGTCCAGTTATTAATTATTAATGACAAGTTGCTTTTGAAAAGATAAGGCCAGAAGTTGTTAGATGCATGAGAGATTGCTTAGATTATCAATCAAGAAATCCTTACTTGGCCAAATGCAGTCAGACCAGTAACATTAGGATAAAAGTTGTGTATTCCTTTAGATGATGATTCAGACCTTAAAAAGGGAAGTGAGGGAGGAGAAACACGGTGTTATTCTGGAAACTACAATATCATCAACTGAAACTTCTTATGCCACACACAAAGATCATTACCATGTCACATAACCAAATGTAGGGATAACGAGCTACATAAAACGTATCTTGATCACACAGTGCTTTTTATGGTCATAACTGTTTTCTGCACATTATACCTTCAGGTTCAGGATGTTGTGTGTTTCTGATTAAACAAACCTTCATCAGAGAACAAAGATATGCTGAAACATCAGTTACCTGTAAGCCAGAAAGCCTGCTTTTCAGTCCTCTCTGCACACAAGTCCCCTGTTTTGCCCTATGTAACTTTCTTAATAAAGCAAAGGGAATAGCAATTTTACCATGCTTGTGGTGTTAACAGGGTTTAGAAGTTCCTAAATTGTCAGCATAACAAGTGCTACGTAACAGATCCTTCAGTCTCCCAACTTGACACATGACAAGTGATTTACCACAAAAAATCCATCATCCTTGAGAGGAGTTCAGAGTCCTTCATAGGTGAACTCCATGTCTGAATCCATATTTTCCCCATCTTGGGGCTGCCACCACTTTGAATTAGACAGTCACACAAACACACGCACATGAGTTACCA